CATCTAAACCTTCAAGATCTCGAATCGGTGGATCATATTGAAAATGAAATGAATGTGAATCTTGAGCAGGTTGAGAATCTCGAGCAGGTTGAAACTTAAAGTACGATTTCGATTTAGCATGTTTCTCTCTCAATTTACCCACCACTCCTAATCTCTTCCGTTTCGGTCCGGCTTCTTCTGAGTCTGAAGAAGATGGTCCGTCTTCTTCTTCTTCTGGTTCAGAACCAGACGAATCTGACCGATCGGTTTGATGATGGTCTCGATCCTGTGGATCTTCAATCACCGTATCATCCGAACTATCTGGATGATAACTAGGATCTTCTAGATCATCAAACTCTCCAATCTCATTTGATAATTCATGTTTTTCATTCATCCCTTCATCTTCACTCGAATTCAATCTTGAATCTTTTCTAGAAACTTCAGTGGATTTGAATCGGATCACAATCTTAGTGGGTTGAGGTTCTGGGGTTGTTTTGTCTTGTAAAACTCCTCCTAATCTATGTCCAGGTGCGTTTTCTAATTGGTTGACTAAATTTCCAAGAAAGCTTTCAGGTTGTGGTTGTGGTTGGGGTTCGGTAGGGAATTTATCAATCGGAGTGTTTAAAGCCGATTCGAATCCAGAATTCTTGGATCCATTTGAATGACCATCAAGTGAAGGAGTGGAAGTGATCGAATTCAGGTGAGTTTTTTCGTTCTGACCATCGGTTTGTTCGGATTCAGATCTTCTTGGGTTTACTAAGATATCATCAACTCGGATATCATCTGGGTAAGTGATTGGATTGAGTCGATTTGATCTGATTGGGGTTTCTTCTACTTCAATGGCATCTGGTGCAGGGTTTGGGTTGGGTATATGTTCGTCAACTAGGATATCGTCCACTAAGATATCATCCACTCGAATATCATCAATTTGAATATCATCTTGTTGGGGCGTTGGGTCGAGTCTGATGTCGTCAATTTGGATATCATTTTGTTCAGGTGTTGGGTCGGGTCTGATATCGTCAATTTGAATGTCGGATTCTTCAGGTGTTGGATTAGGTGTGATTTCATCAATTTGGATATCAGATGATTGTGATACCGAATAAGATTGAGTATTAATAATTGGTTGAGTAGATGATTTAGAAGTAGAAGCAATCGGATCAGATTGGATTTCTTGATTTGTTTTTTGAGTAGTAAAAGTAGAAGTAGGTTGAGTTGATTGTTTAGTAGATTGATTTGGTATCTCATAATCTGATTGATTAAATTGATTTAAATCGAAATTCGGATCTGGAAACAGTCCTCCAAATGTAATGGCATCTCTTAGATCAGATGGATTATGTTCGTAACCTAAAAACCCTTGGTTTAATGTTAATGGTAAGTTATTCGGTGAAGGTGGTGTTGGTGTTGGTGTTGGTGTTGGAATGGATTGATTTTCATTTAAGAAATCTAAAAATGACTCTAATGGAGTTCTAATAAAAGTTGTATTAATAGTTTCCTTCAATCCATTTAAATCGAAATCCCAATTCGAATCTGAAGATGATTGTTGATTTAAATCTAATAAAACTTGAAACAAATAAGTTTTGTTTTCTTTAATTTCGATTTCTTCTTCTGATGAGATACATATGATTTCTTCTTCTTCTTCTTCTTCACTTTCATCTAAACCAATCACATTAGATTGATTCGCACTTTGGTTTTGATTCTAGTTTTGGTTGATTGGTTAGATTTGATAAAAGTTTTATAAGTTTTTTTGAATTTGATTCGTACTTTAAGTTGGTTTGGTTGAGATCCTGATACCTATCAGACCATTC